TAGCCTATTCTGGACCAGAGAAACTTGAGCTCTGAAGGGGTAAGAGAAAGTGGAATTTCCCGGAGCTTGGGGCCCGCGTTACGCGTATATACAGGAGGGGCCGGAGCCATACGGAAGGGATAGAAGATGAAAGGTGCACCCGTCACGCAAGGCGCGACGGGCACGACGATCAGGGCCCCTATGAGGGCCGCGCTCTACATGCCTTGTCTAGACTGTCGGGGCCGCGCAGTGTGATTGGTGGGCGGGGGTGCATGCACCGCGACCGCCGACAAGCGTATCGGGTGTTTCGTACTGCCCTCGAGCCCCGATGCTTGGTGGGGCTTGGCGCCCTCAGTCGGGGCCGCTTATCGTGGCTCGCCTTGCTCGACTCGCGGGTGGCAAATGGGGGTGGCGCGTGAGAGACCAGGGGGCCTTTCAGGAGGCTTGGGGCTGTTCGGGGCACACATCGGGACACGCATTGGGGCACGCATTAGGGCGCGGTACCTGCTAGGAGGTTGGCGTCGGGGCGGTCTGAGCTCGAGAGTGGTGCCCACACCGCAGCGGGCGGCAGGTGCGGGCGGCAGGTGCAGTGAGTGCGCATCACCAGCCCATTACATGCTTCCTAATGCACCTGAACGGCTGCAAGTCCAAAGCAGGTCTATCATGTCTTACATGTCTAAAAGCTCTATAGATGTCTGTGGAATAGTTCAATGGACACCAAGGTCTTAAAGCACTCAAATGTCTGTTAGAGTCTTTATAGAGCTTTAAGAATTCATCACACTTTACTGATGGCCCGAGGTGGGGAGGTTGTGCGCAATGGCACAAGGCCTCAGAATCTCAGCCACAGTGGTGTCCAAATACTGAACCAAACTGACCAGGACATTAATGTCTCTCCTTGTGAATGTGATCACTCCAACACTGATGACTTGCCTGGTGGGGTCAAAGCCACCCAAAGAACCCAATCAAAGTTTAAGAACCACTGCAAAACAACATTATGCTCATCTCTCTACAGGAATATTGACTCTTGGCAGATTACAAAGCTGCTGCATTAGCTGATTGTAGTTTTAAAGAGATCACCCACACCCCCCTGAACTTATTGTGAATTGATCATACAAAGATCACCCACACCCCCCTGAACTTATTGTGAAGTGATCATAAAGAGTTTACCTACACTCCCCTGAACTTATTGTGAATTAATCATAAAGAGTTCACCATGATTTCTGTGATGCTACTTCAAAAGTGGTTTCAATAAGCTCACAATGCTCTTTATTCCCTTTCAGAGTGCAGTCAAAATTAGATCATGGTGATCTCATTGAGATTTTTCTCAAACAATTCACCATTGTTTCAGCTACAAATAGGTGTGCCCAGTTGAAATCAAATCCTGTTTTGTTTCACATCTTCTGCAAAGTCTGAACCAAAATCTGAACAGGCTGATTTCCAAAGGACTTCAAGGAACTGAAATTGGAGCCAGGGCCACTCATGATCAAATGTTGTTCTGGCTTTGTGAGAATTCCTTGGTTATATTTAAAAAGTGGCCACAATGCTTTGACTTCACACCAAATGTGTCCACAATGGGGACACAAAGATGTCTCTGTAATATATTCCATATATCAGTGAACTC